TCATGGATTAAAATTCAGAAAACAAATTTATTCAACTTCTTTACCTTACTAATCTTATGAGAGGGTTCAGTTAAATTTGTTTGCAGTTGCATGTGTTCTTTCACATGAAATAAATTCCATTAGAACCAGCAGAACCTCCAAACCACATGATGAAAAAACTCAAATAATAATCCCTTAATTAGGTGGGAGATGCATATAATTATAAAACTTTAAGAACTCAGATTCTTTCACTGTGATTGCATACCCATTCAACTGTGGGATGCTTGTATTTATAAGAACTTCACGATTACATCTGAGGATTTGAAATCCCTATTTACAAGGAATTTTGAAAAACAAACAAATCAGAAAATCAACAGATTACATATTTGAAATCTTATCCTACAAACAAGGAAACCTAATCATGTAACACTTTTAAACAAAACTGAACTCCTCAAAGCACGGTGGATGAAACTGCATGTGGACCTCGTCTAACAGCTCCCCGCAAGCTAAGAGGGGGAAGAACCACTGGAAGCTTGGAGACAAGAAACTTAAAACGGGACGACGAGAGTCCTTTAGTGAAAATATCAGCAAGTTGGTCCTGGGAACACACATAATTAACTAGTAGCTGACCACGAACAACCTTCTCACGAACATAATGGTAATCGACCTCCAAGTGCTTGGTCTGCGAGTGAAAAACCGGATTGGATGCAAGAGCAATTGATGAGATATTGGCGCACCAAATGGTCGGTTGAACAAGATGCATATGAAGATCTTTATAAAAAGACCTTAACCAAGATAACTCAGCAGCATTATAAGCTAATTACCTATACTCCGCCTCTGCACTTGATCGAGATACCGTCTTCTGCTTCTTTGAACTCCAGGATACAAGGTTAGAACCCAAGTAAACACAGAAACCACCTATGGAGTGACGAGTGTCTAGGTTGCCAACATAATCGGCATCTGAAAAAACTGTTAACCTAGCAGTGCCTGGTTTATACAATAACCTATGATCATAAGTAGCCTTTAAGTACCGAATGATCCGCTTGACTGCCATCCAGTGCGTGTTCTTTAGAGAGTGCATAAACTGGAACACTTGATTCGCAGCATAGGACAAATAAGGTCGAGTGATTGTGAGGTATTGGAGCGCCCCCACAACACTACGATATAGCACATGATCAGCACAAGGATCACCAACATAAGCACTTAACTTCTGACCAGATGACACCGGAGTAGGGATAGGTTTTGCTTATGTGAATTTAGTGCGAGAGAGGAGGTCCATGTCATATTTAGATTGGCATAAATGCATGGAATCACCTTCATATTTTACCTCAATACCCAAGAAATAACTCATGTTTCCCAAATCCTTCATGGAAAACAAACTACCAAGTTTCTTGATCAAATGATCCATTTGACGAGGACTATTCCCTGTGATTAGAATGTCGTCTACATAGATGAGGAGAATTAAAGAAACACCTCGTTTATTGAACATAAATAAACTACAATCACATGTAGACTCTTCAAACCCGAGTTGAAGCAAATAATCAGAGAAACGTTGGAACCAAGCTCTAGGTGTTTGTTTGAGACCGTACAGAGAACGTTGCAACTTACAAACATGATTTGGAAACTCTTTGTCTGTGAACCCCGATGGTTGACGCATGTAAACCTGTTCAGTCAAGTAACCATGCAGAAATGCATTCTGAACATCAAGTTGACGTACATGCCACTTCTTTGACACATCAAGACTCAAGACAAGTCGAATGGTGCTATGTTTCATAATGGGACTGAAAGTCTCAGTGTAATCGACGCCAGCCATCTGGTGATATCCATTTGTTACTGATCGAGCTTTATGACATTCAATAGTACCATTTGCTCATCGTTTAAGCTTGAACACCCATTTGTTTGGCAATACGTTCATATTAGGACAATATGGAACTAAACTCTAGGTTCAACACCGTTGTAGGGCATTGAATTCCTGCACCATATCATCCCGCCACTCCTGATGCTTGACTGCCTGATTGAAACACGTAGGCTCAACAGGAAATTTGTCAACTGCAACATGCATAACATATTTTGGATTTGGTTTTGAAACCCCCGATTTGGCTTGTGTAGTCATAGAATGGCCAGTATCACTAAACACAGTGGCTTGCAGAGGTTGAGTATCGACTAAAACTTGCTCATTTGATGACGGTGAGGGTGCTAGGGGCAAGTTAGGTGCTAGGGGCAGGTTAGGTTGTAAAGCTGGGACAAGTTAAGAGATAACTTTAGTAGGCAATGTGTTAGGTTGAGAAGTAGTGGGGTCAGGATAGGATGGTATGGAAGCATAGAGATTAGAGTTAGGAGATATTTGTGGAGGTGGACGATTCAAAATAGGACTCTCAGGTGAAGCGGTGGATAATGGGAACGTAAAAAGTAGGTCGGGTAAAAGATTGGTAACTAGTGATGCGACACTTTCAGAAGGAGATGTGAGCCCTTTAAAAGGGAAGAAGTCATCATCGAATAGAACATGGTGAGACAAATAAACTCGTCGTGTGGACATATCCAAGCACCTGTATCCTTGATGGTCCAATGAACCTAAGAAAAACACATGACTTTGATTTTTGTTGCAATTTATTTTGGGTGTATGGTGTTAACCAAGGAAGACAACGACAACCAAAAACTTTTAACATCTCTTACTTTGGTGTTTTTTTTAAATTTTTTTCGAAAGGTGAGATGTTAGACAAAACTCGAGTTGGTAACCGGTTTATTAAATAAGTAGCAGTTAAGCAGGCATCAAACCAGAACCTAGTTGGCATGAAAGACTGAGAAAGCATGACAATTGCAGTTTCAACAATGTGACGATGTTTGCGTTCGGCTAAACCATTTTGTTCAGGTTGTTTAGGGCAAGAAAAACGTTGTGAAATACCATGAACATCCAAAAATCGTTGGAAAGCATTACTTTTGTATTCACCACCTTCATGACATTGTATAGTTTTAATGGAGCAATTAAACATGTTCTCAACTTGAGTTTTAAATTTCACAAATATCTCAAACACTTCATATTTGTTTTTCATTGGAAAAACCCAAGAATATCGTGAATACTCATCGACAAATAACAAATAATAACGAAAACCTTCATTGGATTGAATTGGAGAACACCACACATCAGAGTGGATAAGTTGCAAAGAAAATTGAGACATGGACTCTGACACATTGAAAGGAAGCTTAGTGCTTTTACCTAAAGGACAAGACTCATAAAAACTTACATTAGAGGTACCATGAATGGGTACCAACTTATTGGAAACTAAAAAAATTATTATTGGTTTCGCAAGATGGCCAAGACGTGCATGCCACCTTTGAACTAAGACCCTAACCCCTACAAATGCAGAAACAATATGCTTGAGATGTCCACAGCCATTTGGAAATGGGTACAACCCATTCTCACATCTCCATCGGAAAAGCGTTTTCCGTGTCTTGAGGTCCTTAACAAGAAAGAAATGTGGAAATATTAGTAGGTAACAATCATTATCTAAGGTGAATTTATGGGCAGAAATAATATTGGTTGATGCAGAATGACAGTGAAGAATATCACGTAAAGCAAATGAGCAAGCATTAGTTTGAAGATGATTTGAGCCAAAATGTGCAATAGAGATACCAGAATTATTACCTACACCTCCCTTACCATCATTACCATTGTACTCTTTAAGATGGGCCAGATTTTGAATATCTGGTGTTATATGTGCGTTGGCACCGGTGTCGAGTAGCCAAGAGCCATTCTGCTGCTTATTAAGAGTGATAGGAGAAGACGTCATGGCCGAAAGACGTTTGGTAGGAATCCTTCCTTCAAAGGCAGCATTCATTCGCTGGTAGCAGTCCAGTGCGGGATGACCTAGTTTACCACAAATTTGACAAATAATTCGATCACCACAAGAAGCCATCCTTTCACCATTACCTTGGTTATTCGGAATGTTGGTGTTGTTGCGATTATTATAGGCTCTTTGATTCCCACCACGGTTGGAAGCATGGCCTCGCCTACCACCACGAGGACAACCACCACGGCCTCTGGAAGCAATAAAGGCGTTTACAGTAGCACCTTCCTCCAAAGGCACATTTTGTTCAGTCATTCTACGTTCTGTAGTCAGCAGGAGTGATTCAAGTGTTGGATACGCGATAGGGGTATCTCGAGCTTGTGCAGCACTCACAGTCATCTCAAACGTTGGTCTCAGATTGTTCAACACAATCTGAACAAGTTCCTCATCAAACACAGGTTGCCCGGCAAAAGCGAGGTTATCAGCTATCGCATTCATGCGATCCAGGTAATCAACAGATAGTTCACCTTTCTTGGTCTGCAACAATTCAGTTCTCAGAAACAAAATTCGATTTTGATAGGTAGATGCATACCTTTACTCAAGAGCTTCCCATGTAGCTCGAGCTGTTCTTTACTCGCCACCACGGACAGGACGGACGCAATTAAGGATCCATTTATCCAGCTTAGGATCATTTGGTCCTGTTGAACCCAAGCCGTGTACGCAGGATTGACAGTGGTGGAGTTCGCAACATGTTTTGGGGGACACAACAACGTGCCATCAACATACCCCATCAGGTCTCTACTTTTCAGAATAGGGAGCATTTGAGCCAACCACAGTGGGTAGTTGGTTCTATCAAGTTTGATATTGATGACAGTGGAGAAGGGTTGGAAGGTGTTTTGAGGGTTGGAGTTAACAGCGGAAATATTGTTGTCAGCCATGGAAGCGTGGATGGAGAAGAATGAGAAGTAGGATCTTTATCGTTAGACAAAAAAAGCTCTAGAAACCATATAAAACTTTAAGAACTCAGATTCTTTCACTATGATTGCATACTCATTCAACTATGGGATGCTTGTATTTATAAGAACTTCACGATTACATCTAAGGATTTGAAATCCCTATTTACAAGGAATTTTGAAAAACAAACAAATCAGAAAATCAACAGATTACATATTTGAAATCATATCCTACAAACAAGGAAACCTAATCATGTAACACTTTCAAACAAAACTGAACTCCTCAGATAACGATGGAGACGGTGGATAAAACTGCATGTGGACCTCGTCTAACAATAATTACCTTCTCAATGACACTAAATAATTTTCCCTTATATTTGAAAAAAAGTAGATACAATATATGATCAATTCACTTAGCCAACAAGCGCAGGCCCGCACACATACTGATCGAAATTACTTACAACCAGAAGTACTTGATCCTTTGAAATAATTAGATCCTTTTGTATGAGGAATATTGTTGATCGATATCCTTTGATGATCTTCATTAATATTGTTGTTAGCCTCCGATGATATTCCATCCCTTTCTTGCTCTCTATACCTGTGTAAGTACCTTCGCAACGGACCGGTGTAGTCATCGAAACCCAGCGCTCTTAGCGCCCAGCAGACATCGTCACCATTCACGGTCTTCCGCCTCTCTTTGCGGCACTTCTCCGAGGCCTCGCCGGTGACAAAGCTGATGAACTCCGACGCGCATTCTTGCATGGTTTCCTTGGCCTCCTTTGAGATCTTGGCGTTGGGTGGCAATATTTGCTTCATGATCCGCCCGACGTTGGCTATTGGCAGCAGCTGGTCTTGCTCCTTGATGCCTCCATCAATATCATCATCCTTTGCAGCTCCGCTTGCTCCAGGATTATTATTGTCGACCATGTCTTGATACGAGCTAGTACTTGTGGGGGAGTCAACACTCCCATCATTTCTATTTATATACAAATGGAGGCACGGGTGTTTATATATGTATTAATACGCACTCGATAGCAAATACTTGTACGTACTAATACGCACCCTATATGGCTAATTATATTGTTATATATGATAAGTTTTTAACTCGACTGATTTTCTTTTATTCAACAATTATCATAATGAGTTTTGAACTTAAGACCTCTACTAACAAACAAAAGATTAGCTAGGTGCACTATATGCTAGGTTCAAATCTCGTAGATGATGAATTTGATACCAAATTAGGCTTCTCATTATGTGGCTTAGCCGAACTCTCATTCACCTTAACGTAAAAATATCGATCTACTAAAAAAAAACGAGTATAATTAACATTATTAATATTATTATAAGTAATCAACATACTTGTAACTAGCTAGCCTCATATTAATACCTAAAATGGACCAAAATCACCATCTAATTATTGTCTAGAAGCACCGAGTCTTTACTTTATTAAAACTTTACATGAACTCAAATTTCTCATGATTGTCGATCGAGAGAAAAAGAAGTTCAAATCCCCTTCCTCTAAACGAGACTAAAATCAAAATGAATTAAAATTCCTATCTAACACTCAATTTAATGATTTTTTTACCATATATAAAATGAAAAAAAAAAACGTATCTGAATATTGCACCCGCACCCAACGCCATCTTAATTTTCATTTGATATATTAAATATAATGAGCAAATAGACATGCATATATAATTTGCCAAATTGTTGGTGGGAGAATCTTCCACCTTAATAACGTGTTGTGACTTATACCTTGTTGTAGGGCATGCATTTGTTGTGATGCCGATCGACTTGGTCAGCATTACTACTGTTTTGCCACCCTCGGATTCGATCGAGCTCAATCTATTGGAGCAGAATTAATATATAAAACACCAGTTTGATGTTCTGCAAATTAATGGACCACGTCAACGACTTTGACGTGCTCGATGGCAATTAGTTCCTGATTTATTTAAAATATTTCGTACGATTAATTAAATTAACACATGCAGCAGCAAATTGTTAATGGAAGCTGATGATATTTGATTGCTTTTAGCTGCTGCCTCCTCATCCATTACAATTTGCTGTAGAGTGGTACGTACTGATTAAACCAATCAGCTCATCAGGAGCATGTGTTCGAAATATTAATTAAAAGCGTTTGGAATGTAAATACAGATTAAATAAATATCATCTAAAAGCATAATGTCGTCGCGTGGATTCAACCATGTTGATCCTCAACTTTTGAAAAGTGTCAACAATATGTGTCAATGTCAATGTGTCAATGTTGAATACACGTATTCGTAAATTCAAAGATGTAATATCAATTCTAAAAACTAAAGTATTGTCCCAAACAACTTTAGAGAAACATTTTAGTTTATCTTAAACTTTTATTTGCGATATAGCATATTTTTGTACTAATTGATAATTATTACTATGTGAAGGTATGTTTCTGTAAGATGGGACTAAGAAAAATTATAACTTATTACAACACAGATTTTATTCGTATACTTAACAGGTCCCAAGTTTGGACTGAATTTTTTTATAACTTTAAGGAGGTTATTCCTCTAATTTTAAAGAGGTTTTAGTGTATTATTGTGTACTGAAATTAAGTTAATTAAGTTTATTACATCACTTAATGCGACAGCATACATATCTCCTTATGTGGTAGGTTATCTTAATAGGAAGTTGCATCTATATTTGCCTATAAAATTAGGGATGTGATATCCACACACCTTTTTTTACTTCTTCCACACCTTTTTGGTTTTCTGCCGTCGGATCGGATGAATTGAAGAAGATCAATGGACAGAAATTAACAAGGGTGTGTGAGAAGTAAAAAGGAGTGTGTGGATAGCACACCCCTAAAATTAATCAACTGTTTATATAGTAATTGCCAATAGCTATTTTAATTTCACATTACGTTTGTCTGTTTTTGTCGACCGTAAATCTGATGTTGACATTTTTACTTGTCTTGTTTTTAAGGTGGAGATGAATGATCTGATGATTGTGCCGATAAATATTGCTAACCCGACGTCTCACCTGCTGCTTGGGTGTTAATATATCTATCTTATAATTGTCCATATTTAAGAGTCACACATGTTACTGTAAGACATATTCTAAAATCACAACAACAAGACATTAATATCACGAATAAATCAAATCAATATAAAATAGAGATTGACTAATTATATTAAACTTAGCTATAAAATACGGAACACATGGTTATGAAGATGAAGCCATTGATCCTTGCGAACAAAGTAGAAGTAGTCTTCTACTTCCAGTACCTCTCAATGAACTCTACTATCAAAATAGGCTTGTAGTTTTCATGAGTTTCAATTGGTATGAAAGCAGGGACTGCTCTTAAGTTATATAGCTAGGGTTTCAACCAATTCCCCCTATTATTGGAAAGGATATCAACCCAAATCATATCTAATCAATTAGAGTCCTATCATGACTCTTATTCCTTATATTTACTTAATAAAGGTCCATGATTGATTGCATGTAATTAGGACTCTAATATGTTTGTTTCCTTAAGGCACCGAGAGTCTTAGAGATTTCATTAACTTGATTGCCAAGTCAACTAATCCCTCAATTATTCTCGGCATAATTCATTGAAATTCACAAAATAGTTTTACATTCTCCCACTTGAATGTCAATGAGAATACCTCAACGAGATAAATATATATGGTGATCACTTGAGTCCACTAAAGTATGCAATTATACCTTTCAAGTAACTTGTCACTTTGAGACTAAGTGCAGAACCAAAGAAAACAAGGCACACATTGGACATTTCCTTGCACGCCATGATTACATGCACACTTAACAAAGTCATGATATCAAGAGCTAATAGTCAAAACATTAGCTCACAATAGTTGAAAAGTAGTTTACAAAAGAACTTAACAACGTTGGTAGCGAAATCCAACTTTTCTGTCAATTTAGAATATAATAAGAGAACAAGTAAAATACGATATACTGTTTACAAAATCAAGACCTCTTATTAAAACTTATCAACAAAATTTAAACCAAATTTACTCTTAAAGTATCAGCCACTAAGACTTCAAATTTTCAATACAAAAGGTAATCTTTTACTCCCACTGATTAAAAGAGTAAAAAAAAAAACTTTATAGATGTCTACAAAATGAAACATATACCTTTCAAATGCTCCTATTAGCAAAACATTAGTCATGGGATCTAAACATAAAATTTATGAGCTTAACTTAACATCTTTATTCTAGATATCTGTCGGGAAGTGACTCTTGTGACTGAAAAACTATACAAACTCCTTTGGTCAGTTTTGTTCATCTAACATTTGACAGAAATAGAAAACTTTAACCAAATGTTTTCTTATTGCATCAAAAGCATATAATTCTAGAATCATCTTTGGACAGAAACTATTATATTAGGATTGCATAGCTAAAACATAAAATACAAGGGTAAACGTATATAGCTTCAACACTTTTAAGCAGATGAAGTATATACAATCTTGTCAATTCCATGCTTCACTTACATTGATTTATAGTTGTACTGAATAAGAAAACACTTTTGAGTAGATTAATTATCCATCAATAACATATAAATCACAAGTCCAATTTCTTGAACAACAAACAAGAATAATAAGCAAAACACTTTTGAGCAAAATATACTCATTAACCCTTCTTGAATTTCCTGCAATATTAGCTGTATATATAAAATATAAACAAGTATGATAATGTACGTTTTATCTTCCAAAACTATGACCATTAAAAGCATGCAAAATTGATGAGTGTAAAGCCCATAATACAGTATTTCTCCCACTTGGGCAAACACTCAAAATTGCAAGATTAAACACTAGAGAAAGTGGTTTTCATATAACAAAATATAGGCTAGTTGAATCAATAAAGATCAAATACATAATTTTTTTTTAAATTAGGTTAGAATTAAAAAGTTCCATAAATAAAACTTATGCAATGACTACAATTTTATTTTATTTTAGTGTATGAGAGAAGACTCACATATGTGCTAAAGTTATGTCATAAATTAAAATGAAACCTAATAAGAGAATCCAAACTCAAAATTTATGTTTTAATTCTAAAACAAAGTCGATTAAAATAAACACTTAGATATCTCAATAACATCAATTTTTAAGCAATAATTTTATTTAGAACTCAGAGAAAATTAAGGCAAAAGATTGGCAAATTTACCTACTCATTCTCGATTCTGCAAGATTCATCATGGAAGTAGTCGAGTTGTGGAGGATCGAACCAACTGCAAATTGCATGATTGTTACACCTTTGGGCTGAAACTAATCATGCAAAGAAAATACATGCACAGCTAGCCAAAACGTAAATTACACAAAATACATATAACTTCAACAGCTTTGGCCAGATGAAAATATGTTAGAAGTAGTTTATGTTGCTATAATATTAATTTATAGTTGGTAAATGATTTCCTGAAATTCCCTTTGGGACAAAAGTATTCAGCATATAAATTAAAATTTTGATTTTTCCAAATAATCCTTTAAAACAATATTAAATAACTGTTTTGTTGGATATTCAATGATTCTCCAAAGATTAAATCAGACACAAAAGTATGTCGTTATTGAGATGGAACAATAGAGTTATTGAAAGAGGAAACATGGTTATTCAGTTATTCAATAGGGAAGAAAATGATCAATTAGTAAACTGAAGCCACTTTCCAATTTTCTCTCAAAAGACAATTATCATTATAATCAAAATTGATGACCAAACAAAACATTGGTTTAGGCAAAACAAATCAATACATCTTTAAATCAAAACTTAATCAGTGTTGTCTAATAAAACTCATTAATATTGAGAATTTGCATAAAATAAGGACATATTGGAACCATAAATTTGTATAATAATCGGTACCAATAGATATGCACAAATCAGTGAAACAATATCACATAACAAAACTAGTTTTGAAGTACCAAAATTCAGCAGTACTACTTTAGTTTGCAAATTCACTAAAAACTCAATTCTCTTTAGATT